CTTGGCTACTCCCCGTACCCCCAAAGGCAGGTAGCTTGCAGAACTAGGTATCTAGAACTTTAGTACTAGCCCAGCTCTGCTATCAGCTGTATAATATTGAGGGAATCATTTAAACTTTCCTTGCTTCATTTTTCTCATCTTTAAAAAGAAGTTCCGTCTATCTGTCTCACCTGTCTCATGTGGATGTATTAGTCCGTGTGCCGGCTAGCTCAGAGGTGCTTTGGAAAATTAAAACCAAAGACAGATATAACCTATGATGACTAATATTAAGTTCTCTTCACAATACCTGGGACCCCCAACTTTTTCTGGCACTTCTCTCATCTGTATATTTTCTCTGATCCTTCTTATAATTTATAGTCTTTTTGCTTGTTTGTTTTGCTAGTTTTGTTCACTTGTTTTATAAATCTTTGTTGAGCTACGTGTTGGGCAATGTACAAATTATTGTGCTAACCACTGTTGGATAACAAAATGATTAATGCAACATCATCATTTTCTTCAAGGGGTTTGCCATCAAATAGAGATCTCTATCAATACATGAGTAATGTAATACAAGGCCAGGTATTTGAATGTCTTAAGACTAATACAGTAAAATGCCACAGATCACAGGAAAGTGGGAATTCTAAGAAGCTTTGCATAGCATCACTCTAGAAAAGCAAGGTATTCTTTTTTTTTTTTTTTTTTTTTTTTTTTTTTTATCCCCAACTCTGCTGGAACCCAGTAGAAGCTGGTTCTCTTCAAGATTACACATTTTTGCATTGGTCCTGAGAAGTGGTCCAAATGTCGAAGTTTCAACTTTCAGTCTCTTTGCACTGACTTTGAGGAGAAAGGTACTATTTTCCTGATTCATGTCTCTAATAGAGGAAAAAAGTGAGCTCAGTAAGGTCAAGTACAAAGTCAAAAATTTATGCAAGCAGATCCTCATCACTGCAACTACCTAGAGTTTCAATGCACAAAACAAGGCATGTTTTAAAGAGTGATTTTTTTTTTTACATATTTGCCTCTTTAGGTGCTTAATAATGGCTACCCAATAGGATGTTTGCTTTTTCCTAAGATCAGGCTTAACTGCTTTTTATGTGCAGAGCTGCTGAAGTTAGTAGAATATAGGCTAAAGAGAAATTGTCAACACTGAGCAAGTAAGTTGCAACAGGTTTCATAAATTTCATTTGCTGTGAGGATTGAGTCTTACAGTTCTTTCTATAAAAGAGCTGTCATTGGCTTGTGTGTGAAAAATAAATTAAAATAATATTTATTGAATGTTTTAGTATCTTCCTGACTTAAGTATTTTATGTGGATTATTTCATTTATGGCTACTCTTGTTATTGCTATCTTACAAACTAGGAAACTGAGTCTTAGAGTGATTAAGGAATTGTTCCAAGTCTACACAGGTAGGAAGTGGTGGCATCAGGATCTGAATTAGTATAAAAAAGTAGTATCTGAATAAAGGAACAAAATGTTATTTATAGACCTACTTAAATAACATATACATTTGTGCATACACAGTTAAACCTATTTAAATTTACTCTCCAAAATTTATTTCATGTGGCTTGCAACAAATGACTCATATAAGATAAAATTAAGAAAATGAAAAATCAAGGCCATGAGAAGGAAGATTATGCTAACCATAGGAGTTTAACCTGTATCATCAAATTGGAAAACAAGAAAGGAAAAACGTAGACCCTTTTAATAGTCTTTTTATCCACAGCAGTTGTTTTCATTTTCATAACTTTACATTATAAAAATTAAATAAACTCTATGAAAGCTTTGGTTTTTCCTGAACACATTTTAAATTTTTGAGCATCACTGGCATTTAAAACTTCTTGATATTTACTCTTAAATGAGATAGTCAAAAATCTAAAAAGTATTTCCTAAATGGTAAAGTACTACATTACATTTAATTCTAAGCCTCTTTTCCTCACTTAGTGGTGAGGCCTTATCTATCACGCAGGAGACTGGAATTCTATTCTACTTCTTCACATTTCCTAGGGGAAGGTAGCTTTCCTTTTCCAGAATCTGGCATGCTTTTTTAGCACATAGCACATAGATCCTTTAGCACATGTTTAGCACATAGATCCTTAGTAATAAATGATCCACAAACAAATATTGGATGATGGCATGTACTGACACATGATGCCTCATATACCACTGATATATTGTATAATGTGTTCTTAAAAAAATGTGTCATTCTCCTAATCTAAAAGTCCTGTCGACTGATCAGTTTTTCAGTAGTTAATGCTATGCATTTTAGGCTCTCTTGCATCAGTCCTGCTCAGTTAGCACCTGTCACTAATACAATTGAAGGAATCTTTTAAACTTTCCTTGCTTCGTTTTTCTCATCTTTAAAAAGAAGTTCCATCTATCTGTCTCACCTATCTCATGTGAATGTATTAGTCTGTGTGCTGGGCTATCTCAGATGTGCTTTGGAAAATTAAAACAAAAAGCAGGTATAACCTATGATGACAAGTATTAAGTTCTCCTCATGATACCTGGGACCCCCAACTTTCTTTGGCACTTCTCCCATCTGTAGATCTTCTCTGATCCTTCTTAGAATGTATAGTCTTTTTGTTTGCTTGTTTGTGTTTTGCTAGTTTTGTTAGTTTGTTTTATAAATCTTTGTTGAATTACTGTTGAATGCAGACTTGAATGCAAACCTCTGGGGCATGTGCTAAAAGTCTATCATATGACTGTGGGAAGAAAATATTAAAACTCTTTAATTTATCCTATTTTTATCTTATGTGTTTTCATTTCATTTTTGTAAGTGTATGCTTTGTAATAATAAATAACACATCAATGCAGTGGTGCATTTTAAAAACGTATTAATAAATATACATATACTGAGGGTACTTGCACAAACGTTTTACTGATAGCAATGTGTGACATAAAAATTTAAAACTGTAGTTCTAAATAATTCCGCTAAGCTAAGCATATCAACCAAAAAAATCCTTGCGACCATAAAGAAATAAAGAATGTTTTCCTATGATTGAGTTTAGGGGCAGGGGTAGGAAGGAGGCTGGTCTTTTATATTTTTCATAACAAATATACTAGCAAATAATTCACAACAGTTCACTCAGCAATTACATATAGCAACTTGTGTTGATTTTTTTCCTCTTCAAAAAAGAGCACAGTGAAATTCTGAGAAAGTCTTTTTCTGGTTTTTCTTCCATCTGCTTCTGGTCCCTGAAGTTTGTCATTTCGAAGGAAGAACTGTCAAGTTACTCAAAACCTGTGTTCGGTATGAAGAGTCCAGTCCTGGGTTTAAGTTGCTTCTTCATGGGTATTCTATGCAATATTGAGCAGGTTATATAATTTGTCTCTGTCTCATTTCTCTTACGGATAAAATAGAGATAATAACACTTAGAACCAACTTCATAGCCATGCAGTGTAGATAAAGAACACTTTGTTCCTTCAGTCAACTAAATGCAATGATATTAAATATAATCTTTAATAGCATCAGTTCAAGATGCTGTGTTTTTTATATTTTTTCCTTTTAAAAATTATTTTTATTAAAAAAATAATCGAAACATCACTTTCTAACCACTGTTTGTTTTCTAAACTTCATAAACTTAAGTTTCCTCAATATCTATTTCTCTCTTACTTTCTCTCTCTTACACACATTTGCTCCCCCCATTTCATTTAATAACTTTATGGATATGAGAGGAACACTGTAAGATAGCATCAAGGACATAAAAGGGGATTTGAATTAAGTTCTCTTATTCATCTTTCCTTTAGGTTTTAAAGCTGTGCATCTAGGCCATACAATTGTAGTATTTATTTAATCTTAAAATGTTTGTATTTAAGAATAGTCCAGAGATTCTTAAATCAGAAGGAATCTTAAGAAAACATTTAGAGCCTGTGATAATGCCTGGTATATAGTAGATGATGAATAAACATTTAATGCAAATAAACTGGGGAAACCTTATTTTAATTTTAAAAGAAACAATAAAAAAACCCCAATTCTGAGCTTTAAAGTGGCTACGTTAGTTGCTCAAAATTGGTTCAGCTAGTTCAAGAGTTGGGTCTAGAATTTACTCCTCTTCATTTCCAGCTATGACTTTTTCCCCCAGCAACTTGTTGACTTTTTTATATAGAACTGTCTAATATAATCTGCCAAAGATGCATTGTAGAAAAAATAAATCAGAAAGAACTCCTTGAGTTTATCACCTCCAAAAGTCATCCAAATTGTGATTTTCACATAAGATGTGAAATATGTAAAGTCAATGTATACATAATATGCAAAATATAAATCTTGCATATATTCACTCAGAAGGTCTATTTTTAAAAGAAAGGAGTCATAGACAATCTTTCATGACTTATTCTACCTTAAGTATTGTTTGTATGCCCACATAAGTAACTTGTAGTCCTCAGACCAGCTAAAAGTAGATTGGCTATTTCAGCAAAATGTTTACCTTTGTTTTTGTGTATTTCTGTATTGATCTTTCTGAACTCACCTACGAATGAAGCATTAACAACCTCAATGCATTATAGTCCTAATAAACTTATGGTATCTTGCACTACCTTGGCCTATGTAATAGCTAACCCACAGACGAAAGAAGTTCAAGCTGATAAAAGCCTTACTGGCCACTTATCAGCCACGTCAGGCTGTAAAATCATAACACAATGCATGCCTCTTCCATGGGGCATCGATTAAAAAAAAAACACCTCTCACTTCCATTTCCACTGGAGTTGTAGTTTATTACTATCACCCTTCCAAGTCAAAAGGACACCAGTTTTAAGCCTTGCAACTTGGTGCACATAGGGTTTTTCTCCCTTACCTCACTCTGCTGGGCCTCTCTACCTGTCCTCTCCTACTGTCTACAGGTCCCGAACATTAGAAAATAGAAAATGTGATGATCTTTGTGTGTCTCTGTGAAATGTGTGTATGTGTGCGTGTGTTTGGGTGTAACGGGCCTTCTGTTTGGCCGCGCGGCCTGTCTGTCAGGGCGCGGGCCAATGGCAGGCTGCCTTATATAAAATGAGTGTTTTCAGTCTCTCCGGGTTGCATGTACTGTATGTGGAGCAGTGTACAGTGAAGCGGAGGCAGAGCGGCTCCGCGAGCTCCTCTCCACTTTCCCATAGAGAACCCCTGACTGGTCGCGGAGGGCGAGCCACACAGACGCCCTCACGGCGGGCGAGCCCGCGAGGTAAGCGCCCCTCATCCCTCCTGGGCGCTCTCCCTGCACTTTCTGTTTTCCTACTCACTTGCGACCCGCCGGGCTGCAGCCCCAAGGACTCCGCGGCAGGAGCAGCGGCGGCGGCGGCGGCGGCAGCCGGTAGGGTGGACTTGAGGAAGACGGAGGGAACCCCGCGCGTCGGGAGCCGCCGCCAGCCGGCCCGCTCCCCGGGCACTTTCCCCCTCTGCCAAAACTTTGGGTCGGGAGAGGTCGGGGGCGAGGGTCGCGGCGGCCGCGCCGGCGGGGGGCGGGGGGCGCGGGGCGCGGAGGCAGTGCCCTGCGGGCGGGAGGCTGGGGGCCGGGCTGGGGAGTAGTAGGCCAGCCGGTGCCAGGCTGCGTTTGCAACCAGCACCTCTCGGCATACAGGCAGCGCTGCCCGAGAGGGGCACGGGAGCCGGGGCGCGGGCAGGAGCAGCCCGAGGAAAACAACAACAGAGCCCTCACGCCGGCGGGCGGCTCGTGGCCGCCCGGGGAGCCCCAAACTTCATCGCGGCGAAAGTACGTGGATAACAGCCTGGTCTCGGCTGCCGGGGAGGTGGGGCCTGGGGAGCAGGGGCAGGGGAGGAAGGTACGAGGAGCCTGCCCTCAGTGGATTTATGGAACGTTTCGTGTGCGTCGGTGACCGGGAACAGCAGCCCAGTTGCTCGTTCATCTGGAGAGTTGGGATTTGGGTGTTTCGGCCCCGCGGGTCGCTGCCCTCTCACCCACCACCCCTCACCAAATGCGCGGCGAGTAGAGAAAGTGCTGTTTTAGTGCCGGAGTAGCCAGGAGGAAGAATAGGGGGAGAGGGAAGAGAGCGAGGGAGAAGGGGAGAGAGAAGAGGGAGGGAACGCCGGGGGGGGGGGCGAGAGGGAGAGAGAGGGAGAGGAGAAAGGGGGAGAGAGAGAGAGAGAGAGAGAGAGAGAGAGAGAGAAGAGAGAGAAGAGAGAAGAGAGAGAGGAGGGGGAAGAGGAGGAGGGAGGCTGTGTCAGGATTTTGCTTGAATGTGGGATTATGTTGTGTCAATAAGTTTAAGGTGGAGAGATCAAGGCTGGGGGTGGTGGTGGCGGGGAGGAGGAAGGCCTTGGCTGTTTAAAGTCTTATTTCTGAAGGTAAGTTATGGCATTGCATGGTCGCGATGACAGAAAACTTGGAGATCCTTTATCCGGGGATGGGGTCGATGCCTCTAGAAAGAGCTCCCCAGCCCTCTCAGGCCACACTCGTGTTACACTGTTATTTGCCGCGATCCGGGTCGCTAGTAAATTACAGAAATCAGACTCGAGGTTTCTTTTCCTCCTCCACCTCGTCTCGCTCGTTTACCCTCAGAAATGTATTAATATTTTTTAATTTTTTTGGTATTGTATGAAACTTAACGTAACTGAGACCAAACCGGAGTCCTGTAATTTACAAGGACCCTGAATCCAAGAATCTGGAACACGTTAATGTGTGAAATATCCGCGATCATTTCAGCTAAATGAGGAAGGTAAAACGAAACGATGCAAAAAGCTAAGACAACATGTACGACAGAGTGGGGGGGGGGAGAGGGAGAGACGGAGAGAGAAGCTATTTTTTGCTTTCCTTTCTGTAGAAAGGAAAATAAAGCGTGCCTTCCCCTTCCCTACCGGTGTGTAGGGTCTAGTCAATATTTTAACTGTCTGAGGACAAATTAGTCCAGGTGGATCTTGTTGAAAAGTTTCTCGAGGTGGGGTGGAGGTGGGGGGGGTACGAAGGGGAAGGTGGGTGGAGGTGGTGGGGGATGGGGACGGAACGAGCTCTGCCTCTGCTAATGATCATTGGCCTGGGGCTTTGAAACCATTGCCTGTCCTGCTAATGACACGTCCAGTTCTCGTCTTCCGTTCGCGGACGCCGGGCTGCTGGGGACTGGGGTACTTTCCCCGCACAGGGAGGGGCGTTCTTCGCCATCTCTTGGGGTTGCCCACTCGCGGCGTGGGGGCTCTCACGCGCGCCCCCTGTTCTGCGCGCCGCCACCACCTCTGCTCGCGCGACTTCTGTAGCCAGCCCGTGGCGAGGGGGTGCGGGGGTCCCTGGCGCGGACGTCCCCGCGCGGCCATCCGGCGCCCGGCCCCACGCGCACCGCGCGTTCCAAGCCCGGAATGGCAGCGCGGGCCAGGCGGCGGTGCCTCCCTGGGGGGCAGCCGAGGCAGCGGCAGTGGCGGCGGGATCTTCGCCGGGGCCCGCGGGAGGAGGAGAGGGAGGAGGAGGAGGGGAAGGAGGAGGAAGAGGAGGAGAGCGAGGCTTTTTCTGCCCAGACTGCCGCCAGCTCGAGCGGCCACGGGTACAGGGACACCCCACTCGTTGCTCCTCCGTTATGAAAGGTGTTTGGCAGACTTTTACGCCCGGAGTGTGGGATTTGCACTTATTTTTTTTTTCTCTCCCCTCTTCCCCAAAGCAAGATGGACTCTATTCCCTTTCTCTTTCTCCCTCTGCCTCTGTCTTGTCAGCCCTTAAGATCGACATTTTGTACTAAGATGCAAACTTGATGGTGACCAGCAACAAAGCCAGGGTGGGATCTCTTGCTCCCTTCTTCCCTCCCCCTTCCCTCGCTCCCCCCACCCCGAACTCGAAGACCTGGTGGCCCTGCACTTGCCGCCCGGGGCTCTGGCTAATGTGTTTCCTTGCTCGGTTCCGATCTCCAATCTCGGGATTGTGACCGGAACCGGGTGTTAGCGAAGGCTGTGGCAGCCCAGGTCTGCAGGGCTGAGGGCTGTGCTACCTGGACCCACTGCCATCACCCTGCTACCTCTGGCCAGCTCCTGGACACCGCGGAGACTCGGCTCCCAATCGATTGCTATGATTTGGTTACTGGTGTATTTGTCCTGGGGGCGGTAATCACTTGTGCAAGTTGATGAATGATTGCGGTGTGGGTTTTGGGTTTGCAGAATGGATCAACTTTCTGCTTTGTACACACGGGGAGTGGGGAGAGAGGGTGCTTGAGACACCTTGGAATGCCAGCTGGGCTACCCTCAGCCTCTGCCCTCTGATACAGGGAGCTTCTTTGCCTTTATTGCCCGGTAGCTCGTGCGTGGGGTGGAGGGAGGGGAGGGCTTGGTGGGAGATGGACTCCTGGGTTTCAGGGTCCTTCATAGATGTTGCAGGAGTTGGGACTCTTGTATAGCTCAACCATACTGATGATGTACCTTTATTTGATACTTTATAGGTCACTATCATATGACAAAGGCTTTGCTGCAGTTCATCTCCTCCTTGTGTACTTTCCATTTGCCTTCCTGGGTAAGTATCCAAACTCTTCATTCAGGAAACCTGGGTGGCTATAAGTGATGACTATGGGTCATTACTGTTTACAAAAGAAGATGCTTTATTGGGGTTGCAGCACCCCAGAAAGCCTGTTTCACTGAGGTTCCAACAACAGGCACCTGTTTAGGATTCTTAGTATTTAGATTTCAACTGCCATTACTATTATTTTAGATAGTTTAAGTGCTTATTTCATGTTTATCTGCAAGTATCATTTTAAAACTTATTTTCAAATAGGAATTGATAATGACTTGAAGGCATAGGATAGTTAATGCTAGATAATATTGTAGAAAGACTGTAGCTTATGAGTGGAGAGAATTATTAAAAATCTAAGGAAGCATTGTACAGAAGGCCTCTCTAATTATAGTGTCTGACATTTGCTCACTCTTTTCCTAGGCCTCTTTCTTGGGTAACTTCTGTTGTTTGTGACAGTTACTTTTGTGGTGGGAAAGGGTGGACTGGGCAGTGTAGTCAGTCTAGCACTTAGCGTACCAGCCAGCTTGATTGTAAAGGCAAATTACTGACCAAGTTCATCATAATTTCCTTCAAAACTTACGTATTTGTAGAAGTTGCGTACATTTTAACAGCCTTTATATATAGTAAATAGAGACTTTGAAATTCGTTAAGTGCTTTTTTCAGATATATGCCTCCCGAATGGAGAAATTGGTGAAATAATGTATGGGACAGTGAGTGCCTGAAAACTTTGTGAGAAGTAATGGTCTAAGTGAAAACTGAGGGTTGATAGAGCATTTGGGAGCGTTGTGGTGAGCCCAGACTGTAGAAGACCAACTTGTCAATGAGCCCCTCCATTGTTGAAGAACTCCTGGGGAACTCTTAATTTGCTGATATGTTAAGGAAACTGGTTGTACTAAATTGTATAAATCAGCTGTGATGCTTTGTAATACTACCAATAGTGAGGATGAAGATTATATTTTGTGAATGAAAATGGACTTAGACTCAGTTTTCCATTGAAGAAAAAGAAAATGGAACTTATCTGGATAGTTCCTTGGCTTGCAGGGATAGCGTGTGTGTACTAAAAGATTGTCATCATATTAAGAGGAATTGGGTTTGAAGACCAGACCTTTCTGGTAGTTTCCATATAATAGCAAAATATCCTTTGACATTGCTGAGAACCTTATGTGACATGTAATATAAACTCTTGTCTTCAGCATCTTTAATGGAATATCACATTATTTCAGATAGTTTTGAGAACTTCCTAACACTTCATATATATAACAGGCTAATTGGAGTGGTCAGAATGAGATGATTCTATAAGATGAGTTTAGTGCATGCCAAAATATGTGGATTTAATGTCTTTGATTTTTTTTTAAGCTTATTTAGAAGAGTCCTTTATTTTTGAACATATGGCAAGAGTTTTCAAAGTACATTTCTGATTGCTAAAGAGCACCACATTTATACATGTGAGGCACATTATTTTGTTCACTGGAGCAAACTTTTAATGTTGGTTCTTTCTCCATGGAAATATATTTGACTAATTCAAAATTAAAAATGAGAATCTGTACTTTCTAGAATAAAAGCTATTTGATGATCTCTTGTATTTCTTTGAGGTATCAAATAACTGCTTCATTAAAACAGTATTTTTAAGAATGGTCTTTGCGTTTGAAGTCAGAGTAGTTTTTATAGTGTAAAACTTGTAGTAGGGGTCTAAAATAGTCACCCAAACAATGAATTACTAGTTCTTTGTATCTAAAATATTTATTAGATTTGAGGCTTAATTATCAAAATAAGAATTTAGCTAAAGGTTTTGCTTCTACATTGCCAAACTTCACATTTTAGTATTCTGCATATCTCTATGAAGTTCTGAAACTGAAGCCTTAATTTGCATTTTATTTTTTTTAATCCTCACTTGAGGACATGCGTATTGATTTTAGAGAGAGAGGAAGGGAGGGAGAGAAAAGAGAAAGAAACTCCTTATGCACCCCTACAGGGGGGTGGAACACACAGCCTAGGTATCGGCCCTTACCTGGGGTCAAACCTGCAACCTTTTGGGGACGATGCTCCAACCAGTGGAGTCACTAGGCCAGGGCTACATTTCATTTTTAACATTCACTATGGAAAAGGATGTTCATCTATGTTGTTTTTCAGTGCTATATATTTGGAGGTACTGTGACAGTTTTGGAAAGAATCTTTCACTACAGACTTAGATATTAACAAAATCTGCAGATTTTATACTTTAAAAAATCCATCTTGATCTTTGTATACCAATAAGAAAAATAGTTCCAGGTTTAAGAGTTTGTGAGATAGCTCTGCTTTTAACATATGTAAAGCTCTGCTATACAACCTAAGAAGTGTATGCCACCTTTGACCTTATAGACCTGATCTTTATACTTAATCCATTGAAACAGAGATTTGTTTAGACATTTGAGTGAAAGCTAGAATGAACATGTAATAATTACAGTTTGTTTGTGTTGTAAGTAACTGTGATTGATAAGGTCTTTTGTATGTAGTAAAGAAAGAAGAAACAACAGTCTAAAGGTGGCACAACTCATAAAAATGTAACTTGGCAATTAAATTATTTAACCATATCTTTTAGTAAAATTATAAGCATAATTTTAAATTAATAATCAATTGCTAACATACTTGAAGTTTATGTTTTCCTACATTTCATAAAGAGCATGGGTAAAGCAAGAGCCATATTTTTGGAGATTTTACCTGCGTATCAATTACTTTAATATTAGAGAAGAAAGACTTCACATCTCAACCCTATTAAAAAATCTTCTTCAAAATAGCCTCATTACAGGCATGCCTGTTTTTGCTGTAGTAAAGGAAATCCTGAAATTATTATTGTCTTACAAAAGTGCACAAACGTTTAAAATTGTGATATGACCTGTTCTAAATTAAATTTAGGGAATTAATTTTGACATATTGCATCGCCACTAGTGTGACATGCCTGTATTTTAAAATTTAAACTTAAGCAGGTGCTTAAGACAACACTTTTCTTGAATTTGTTGTTTGAAGTCCATCTCATTTTTAAAAATTTCATCAAGGACACTTTTTAAAAATAGGTCTGAGTGTTATCCATTATTTTTAGTCGGCTTCCTTTCTCTCACTATGAAATGAAAATAGACCCCAATTATAAGAACATTGTAATCTCATGGCTTCATTTTTTATCATGTGCTCCAGGTCAATCCGATGCAGGTGGTCCTCAGGCTACATTTTGAGAGACACTGCCCTGAAGGAAGTAAAGACTAAGGCTAAAGGCTGAATGGAGGTCCTTCCAGTGTGAAAATTCTGTGACTGTCATTCAGTCAGTGGGTCTGTACTATCTCAAGGGCAGTTACCACATACAGTGTCGAATGGCAGAGATTTCTGTATTTTACATCATACCTGAGGAAAACATTTTGAGTACAGCTTCACTCAGCGTTCATTTGTGTTCATATTATTTCTTAGAAAACAGTTACAGTTCCTTGAAACTCCAGGACATCATTTTAAAATGGTAAAGGTATACGCAGAAAATCCTCATTTATTACTTGGGATTGTTTTCTTTTTTTGTCTTTCAAAGAAAACGATACAGTGAGAGTTAAAACAAGTGTCATTTATACTATGGAAATGCAAAGTAAGGCAAGCCAGCAAAGAATTCTGTCTTAAAGTATATATAAATAGAAGGTGGAAGACTAAGGGGAATGAAAGACTTAAAGGCTTAAATGCAGACCATGAAGCATAGACACACCTACCAAAACATAAACTTAATAAGTTAAAATATGTTAGTCAGCTCAAGGATCTAGATAGTGAAATAACTTCAGGTAGTGAGGAGGTTGTATAAAATACAAAGTAAAAATAAGAATGAGTTGGATTTTATGAAATCTTAGAAAAGTAAAAAATATTGCAAAATACTGATTAAATAATTAAACCATGTAGTTAAACATGGTCCTTGAGTGAAAAGATCAGGGAATAAATAAGTTCCTGGAATAGAATAAGTGAGCTTTTAATAAGGACATGGAATGATTTTATCCATGAATTATCCCACAAAGAGGATAATTAAATAAAAGATTGATAACTTATTTTAAAGGTGAAATAAGAACAGGGACAAAAATTGTATAAAGCAACTGTATTTCTTCAATGTTTTTTACTGAGATAGATGAAAAGAAATACCTTTTATATTCACAATCTGCATATAAAAACTGAAATGAAAGTTTTTTGAAACAGTACTGAGTAGTGCCCTCTGATAGTTTCTATTTCTATCCTAGAAATCTAATCAGTTCCAAACTATTTCACTAAAAAATACAGGGTGTCATTCACTAAATTGATTTTTATGACTTTCAGTTTGAGAAACACCAGCCTGGAGTGCTTACTAATACTAAAATTGGAGGTCCTCAAGCCCCATCTCCAGGTATTCTGGTTCAGTGTGTCTGGTATAGGGCTCAGGAATCTGCATTTCAACTCGTACTGCAGGGGACACTGAAGGAGGCACAGATCCTCTAACGTACTTTGAAAAAGTAGTATAAGGGACAGGTGGCTAAAGATTGAATGGGAGTCATGCCCTGAAAGTGGGGTTAGGGTTTATTGACTCCTGAGGTCTCTTCTGGCTTCAGGACTCTAATGGCTGTATTTCAGGCAGCATTTTGCAGTATTGGTAGGACCCTCATTGCCCTCTGTAGATATTACTGTAATACCAGGTATAGTACAAGGAGCAAAGGCTTCCCAGCCAATACCGTGGGTTCCACTCTTGCTGCCTCTGTTGCTTACTAGGCTGAGAGATTTTGAGCATGTCACTTCAGAATAGACTTCCAGTACCATATGGGCAAAGGGGCATACTAATATTTATTATGCACAGAATGAGAATTACAAAGATAATAATATCTGTAATGACCTTGATCCACAGTCAGCACTCAAAATAAGTATTAGTTTTTATAGGTACATCTCACTTCATCCTGACTCCCAAGTTTGAAATTTCTCAAAGCTGTTCATTTAATTTTCATTTTCTCTAATGCAGCAATTTTCAACCAGTGTGCCACAAG